CGCAGCCGCCTCCGAGGTGGCAGAACATGATGAATGCAGGCACAGGGAGCAGCCGCCTCCCGCCGAGAGGGGCCCCCTGATAAGGCCAAAGCTGTTTCCTCTCGCCAAGCGCCTCTCAACCCCATGCAGCGAGGTTGGGGGGGTTCTTTCTCCATGGGCAAAGCATCGGACGGGCTCCGGCTGCCCCAGGAGCCGGAGGGGATGTGCCGGAGCGACGGCCTCAGTGACCCCTGGGTCTCTCTCCCATTCCCACCCAAGCTCTGGCCACGGACATCTGTGGGTTTGCAGGCGAGTCTGTGCACCAGAAACCCCAGGGACACGCAGCAGGGCCAGGTCTGGCCCCAAAACCAGCTCCTGCGACTGCAGGGGTCCATGCACGAGCCCTGAGGAGGTGCAGGGTTTTTTATGCTCCAGCTTCCCCCAGTGCTCGGTTTCTACAGCCTGTCCTCCCTACTCCTACCCGTGCCCAGCGCAGGGCTGCACAGGCTGTAACTCAGCTTTGGAAGCTGCATTTGTAGGCAAAGGGGTTTTAAAAGGAAAAATGCCTTTGGGGGAAAAAAAAGGCCAGACACGGGGATCACTTCCCCCTTTTATCCCTGCCAGCACGGCGGTGTGCAGAGCGTGACAGCACCCAAGACCCCCGAGAGGCGGGCGCCTCACAGCAGAGCCAAGGCTGCGCCGGGCTCCACGTCGTGTTCTTCACACAGCCACGTCACCTTGGAAAAGCTCTGCTGCTCAGGGGAAGGAACAACGCGGATTCCCACTCTGAATCCTCCACCTTGGCAGGCCGGGCACAGCCTGGGCAGAGCTCTGGGGCACGGCAGGGAAGCAGCGGGACATCCCCAGCCAGCACCAACACACGGGTCAGGTTTTTATTTGCGTCTCATGAACATCCTTACAAGAGATCAAACCAGGAGAAGAAACACATTGCATGAACCCGAGCGGACAGAAGAGCTGCAGCCCCAAACTGAGCTGCCCTGTGGGAGGAGGATTCCACACCGAGGAGCCTGAGTCACCCAGATCTCATCCCTTCTCCCCGAGCTGTCTGGCAGAGCTCAGCCAGGCAGAGCTGCACCAGCCCCACACGACGGGATTGATAGGGAGGAAATGTGGTCTATAAAGCTCTTCTGCAGAACAAATCCTGCAGCTGAGCGAGCCCCTGTGTGTGCCCCATAAAGAACCCAGCCTGATGCTGGGCTCAGCTCTACTGGGTCTGGCCACTTGTGTGGGTACCAAGCACCCCTCTCCTACCCCAGCCCTGTGTGGTGCCCGGCTGGGCCTTAACCTGCACCCCGGGAATGGAAAACATGGCTGCAGGGGAGACAGGGAGCAATTTTGGGCCAGGAATTCAGTATGTGTCTCTTCTCATGCACACTAAAGGCTTTGCTCTTTGAAGCCAGTGGGCACGGCCACGTGGAAGCTGATCTCAGCCCCCCTTCACTTGGATAAAGAGCAAGAGAGAAACCATCTCTCCATAGAGAACCCACCTTCAGTGAGGCCACTGCAGCTCCCCACAGCAAGAAGCCAGCTCCCCCCTCAGCACTGACCCACATCATGTAACCCCGGCAGCGAAAGCGGTGCCACCCCACAGAAGCAGCAGAAGAAAGCTCACAGCACCCAGGCCCTTCTCAAACACTGCACCCCGCGCTGCTTCAGCTGGGAGCAAACAGCCGGGCACCCTGCGAGGAGCAGGGAAAGAACTGGACCTACTGCCTCCTCCTCTGTTCTGCACACAGGGAAACCTTTATGGCTGGTGTGACACACAGGAATGTAGCTCCAAATGGGGAGCAGGAAAACGCTGCTGAGGAGATCCACCAAATGGGGAGCACGTTGGAGGAAGTGCCCCGGCCTCCAGGAGCCTGCTCTGGCCACAGCCATGAGAAGCCACGTGGTGACCCCTCACATGAACATGTCGTCATAGCCTGGAGGGGGAAGGTGGTCGGGATCCGGCCTGGAAAGAAATGCAGAGCAGAGTGAGAGCTCGGTCCCACAGCAACAGGGAGGAGCCAGGAGCTCCAGGGGCAGCCCAGAGAGCGGGATGGGGATTCCAGGCACAGCCAAGTACCTACCCGGATCTGCCGGCCCCTAATGGGCCGAAGGGATCGAATCTGGCTCCGGGTGGAACTGCTCCCGGGGGGAGCCGGCCTGGGATGCCCGACGATGGGTCAATGCCGGGCTGTGGGAAGCCAGACCGGAGAGGATCCATGATCATTCCCCCACTCTGACGTCTGGGGAGAGGAAACACAGAGAAGATGAGATGGGCACTGGTGAAAGAGGAGCAAAGCATGTCCCTGTGCCAAACCCTGCTGCAGGAACACCGAGCATGGGAACGCTGGGTTAAGCAGACACAGGAAGGAAGCAGCTCTAACCCACCTCGACATGGGCCATGGAGGCTGCTGTCTGTGACAGGCATGAACCCAAATACATCCCACTCCGCTCATGCCCTCCTGCCCGGGGTTATCACAGCCCTGCAGATCTGCCTGCACACCACCACAATGCAAGGACAGTGCCAGGATGTGCAACATGGCTCATCATCACACTAAGGTGGGAGTCTCCTGGCTGCAGAGCGTGTGCCCAAGCCAGGGCACCCCCAAACACCCAGGTCCATGGTGCCAGAGTACCCCAAAGGCCACCTGGAGACACACAAAGCCCTCACCCACCTGCCTTCCTCACAGCCAAACCTAAACCACTCAGAGAAGCAGAGAGGCAGCTTCCCTCTCCCCCCAGTTCCTGCATGGAGCTGTTTGGGGCACCAGCAATGGCTGGTGAGTCCGGGTGGGCTGCGGACCATGCCCTGTGGAGTGCTGGACCTGCTGGGCCTCACTGCTGGCCCATGTGCCCGGCCCTGCTCTGCTCCCCGGGGGAGCAGCACGTGCTGCCCCACACAGTGTCGCAAGAGCCGGGGCTCCTCAGCGCTGCCTGGAAGTCATTTGCTGCCCACGGTGTCTGCTCGGAGCTGCCCCATGCTGGGAGTGCCATTCCTCATGGTTGGCTCTGTGCAAGCTGGGCTGGAGCCTCTGGACGCCGCTGCCATCATACAAGTCATTAACAGCGGTGCTAATGAGTTCCATTATCCAGGCTGGCTGCCCAGAGCGCCCTGGGCCAGCTCGGCCCCACCAGCCTCTGCCTGGAGTCTGGGTCTCCAGCCCAGCGCTGGCAGGTGCCAGTGTCCAAATCTGCTTCCATTTACACAGGAACTTCTGAGGAAGGGCTGGAGGCAGCGAGAACAGGGACCCCCCCTCCACTGAACCCCCTCTCCCCATGCTCTCAGGTTTCCCTGCAGCCACCCAGGCTCCAGGCCTCTCCTTCCAGGCAGGACGCTTTTAGCTGGCTCTTCACCCATGGAGAACCAAGTCTTGCAAGAGGGGAAAAAACGCTATCCCCACAGGAGAGTGGTTCCAGTCTCCCCTGGGCCACAGGATGCTCTGCAAGAACTCCAAGGGCTGGCTTAGGGCTGGCTTATGTGCTTTTAACTGGAATGAAGATGACAGGTTCTCCGTGACCAACCAAACCAAAGGCTGAGGGATGTGTCTGTGACGAGTGCCTCGGACAGCCCAGGCTTTCTCTCCAGTGCCTCAGACAATCAGGAGGCTCACAACCAGGACCTGTGGGCTCAGCTTTAAGCCTCCCCTTGTGCAGACTGCTGGGCTGCAGACACAGCAGCTGGTACCGTTTTAAATGAGGGGCTTACAGTCACTTAATGATGTATTCAGCTTTGATTTACTGGAGGAATTACTGCGTGTTAAATGAATACAAGCTGATTATTAAACAGACACAGACTGCAACCTATCATGTATGCAAGGGACGGGATCTTAGTACGATATTAGAACCATATTGAGCTTCAGCAACTGTCAATTGGTCCCTTGCAATTTGTACTCAGCAACTGCCCCATCACTGTCTGCACTGAAGAGACACTTCACCAGATGCCTGAACCAGGCAGACTTCAGCTGTGCCAGAGGGCTCCAGCCACCCCAAACCCCAAGGGCAGAGCCTGGCACACAAAGCACGACCTCACCCAACTATACTCACCCTAAAGGGTCCAGATCTTCCCCACCAACAGCAAAAGGGCTCAAGGGGGAAGGCCTGAAACACAGAACACAGCGAGACCTTCAGTGGAGGGACTGGACCAGGCGTGACGCCGTGTGAGCGGGCACTGGGAGCCACCCTGTGCCCTGGACACAGCGTTCCCTGCTCCAGGGTGCAGCTGGGTGTGCGTGGCAGGCTTGTGGGAAGCTTGAGCTGAAGGGGGCCCTGCTGTTCCCACTTCTCCAGGCTGCGGCTGTCTGTGGACACTCAGAATTTCCATGCCAGGGGCTCCCTGAGCAGTGCCGGGCTGCACTGAGGTCAGGCTCTCCGGCACATCCCATCTAGAAACACAATGCCAGTCCTGCTTCCAGGAGTGCAAGGACAGCGAGGCGGTGAGCCTGCAGCCAGCTGTCACATCTCCTCGCCAGCACTATGTGCCAATAGCTTGGTTTCAGAGCCGTGCCCAGCTCCAGCCTGTCTGCCCAGGCCTCCCCAAGGAGCATCCTGCACCCTGAGCACCAGCAGACAGCACTGAGGTTAAAGCAGCAAGAGGTAACATGCAAGGCAGAAGCCACGGATGGTCCCCAGGAGATGGCAGAGCCACCACAGTGTCTCTGACTTCCAGCCAAAGGGGATTACAGCTTGTGGGGGGAGCACTCAGCCAACAAGACTGAAACCGGCTGGATGCTTCCCACCCCACCATGTGCACAACAGGGACCAGAGGTGTGGTTTGCAGAGCTGTGCCAGGACCACGTCCCGTCTAACAGAGGACCATCAGCAGCCACCCGCTCTTCACTCACCGGGTCCGTGCTCTCCTTCCTGCTGGGTGGTGGGGAGGGACCCTGAGGGGGTCGTAATCCCGGCGTGAGTCAGGATCCTTCTTCTCAGGCTCCTTTTTGGCCTTTTCTGTGGGGGCCCCGAGTGGAGCAATGATGCCTGAAGCAATCCTTGTCCTCAGCTCCTCCGTGTTCTTGTACACCCTGCAGGGAGGAGGCAAGACAGCCTGGTAGTGCTCTGGAATGAAGGAGCTGGGCTGGGCTGGCCCATGGTCCCACTGTCCCTGAAACCTCTCTGGCCTCCCAGCAGTGCAGAGGGAGCGAGAAAAAGTCCTCCAGGCTCCTCCTAACCCTGTCTCAGCCTCCCTCCCCATGCTGGTGGGACATTTCTCCTGCAGAGAATACCAGGGAACTGAGATTACTTGTGGAAATCATCCAGGTGCTCTGGGTCGATGTAGTCGGCCACTGCCAAGGTCACATCTGCCACCTTCTGAGAACTGCGATCCTGGCAAAAGAGAGGTAAAGCACAGAGTCAGCAGCACGGCAGAGCTGGGAATGAGTCCTGAGCTGGGAAAGGGACAGAAACAGGGCAACTCCTGGGCCAGAGTGTGCAAGGCAAACTGCATCGCTGCCCCATGCAGCCAGTGCTTGACCAGCTCCACGCTGGGCCACATCTGCTGCTGCACCATCAACCCCTAACACCCGCTGGGTCTGCCCCATCCTGGGGGACAAATACCACCACAAGGTAGAGCAAGTAACAACCATGTAAGGAACAGGCCCTGCTGCTCTTTGCAGCCGCTGCTCTCCAAACCTGCAAGGACCGCTGTGGGATGCTCACCATGACGTTGAGGATCATACTGTCTTCCACCATGATGGCCTTCAGCAGCAGCTCACGGGCATCGTCCGTGGACTTGTAGCGCAGCGTATACACCTCCTTGTTGGCCCCCCAGCCAGCGGGCAGCAGCTCCGACTTCCTCTCATCAGGACCTGGCTGCAACAGAACAGAGGAGCTGCTGAGACCCTGCTTATGAGCCCAGCACGCTGCAGGGCTGCGGGAATCTGTCTGGGCTGCACAGACAAATCCAGGAGGGGCTCTGGGGCTCTGGGAGAGGCTCCCTCATTGCCTTCAGGTTTTAACTGCAGGAGCAGGGTTTCATTACCTACGGGCTGGCCCTGCCTGCTTGCCAGCCTCCCAGCAGGGTCCCTGCGCTGGAACAGGACGGACACAACCAGCCTTTGCTGAGCAGGAAGAGGAAACAAGGACCCTGCACCGGACTGGCCCCTTTCCTGGTATAACACCAGTGCCCCAGCACTGGGACCTCATCGGGTACCACATTTCCCCCCTCAACACTCCACTGGACC